ATTGTAGTTTAAACCAGTGAACTATATTGTAGTTTAAACTAGTGAACTATATTGTAGTTTAAACTATTGTACTATATTGTAATTTAAACTATTGTACTATATTGTAGTTTAAACCAGTGAACTATATTGTAGTTTAAACTATTGAACGATATTATAGTTTAAACCAGTGAACTATATTGTAGTTTATACCAGTGAACTATATTATAGTCTAAACTAGTTAACTATATTGTAGTTTAAACTAGTGAACTATATTGTAGTTTAAACAAGTGCACTATATTGTAGTTTAAACTATTGTACTATATTATAGTTTAAACTATTGAACTATATTATAGTTTAAACCGGTGAAATATATTGTAGTTTATACCAGTGAACTATATTATAGTCTAAACTAGTTAACTATATTGTAGTTTAAACTAGTGAACTATACTGTAGTTTAAACCAGTGAACTATATTGTAGTTTAAACTAGTGAACTATATTGTAGTTTAAACTAGTGAACTATATTGTAGTTTAAACCAGTGAACTATATTGTAGTTTAAACCAGTGAACTATATTGTAGTTTAAACTAGTGAACTATATTGTAGTTTAAACTAGTGAACTATATTGTAGTTTAAACTAGTGAACTATATTGTAGTTTAAACTAGTGAACTATATTGTAGTTTAAACTAGTGAACTATATTGTAGTTTAAACTATTGAACTATATTGTAGTTTAAACTATTGACCTATATTGTAGTTTAAACTATTGAACTATATTGTAGTTTAAACCAGTGAACTATATTGTAGTTTAAACTAGTGAACTCTATTGTAGTTTAAACTAGTGAACTATATTGTAGTTTAAACCAGTGAACTATATTGTAGTTTAAACCAGTGCACTATATTGTAGTTTAAACTATTGTACTATATTATAGTTTAAACTATTAAAATGTTTAAACCAGTGAACTATTATGTAGTTTAAACTATTGAACTATATTGTAGTTTAAACTATTGAACTATATTGTAGTTTAAACTATTGAACTATATTGTAGTTTAAACTAGTGAACTATATTGTAGCTTAAACTATTGAACTATATTGTAGTTTAAACTATTGAACTATATTGTAGTTTAAACTATTGAACTATATTGTAGTTTAAACTAGTGAACTGTATTGTAGTTTAAACTATTAAAATGTTTATACTAGTGAACTATATTGTAGTTTAAACCAGTGAACTATATTGTAGTTTAAACTATTGAACTATAATGTAGTTTAAACTATTGAACTATATTGTAGTTTAAACTATTAAAATGTTTAAACTAGTGAACAATATTGTAGTTTAAACTAGTGAACTATATTGTAGTTTAAACTAGTGAACTATATTGTAGTTTAAACTATTGCACTATATTGTAGTTTAAACTATTGAACTATAATGTAGTTTAAACTATTGAACTATATTGTAGTTTATTAGCTGGTCGCTGAATTCTGAATTAGATTATTGACCAGCACTGTCACTCCACCCCTCGGACGTCAACACGGCCCCGCCACTGTCTGCAGTTTTCCTTATCCGATAAGGTGAATATAAGGTCGGACATATTCAACTCAGTTTCAATCCTGATTTTAAAGGCCGCAGTAACGGAAATAGATGAAGGTGTGGATTACAAGACAAAATACACTTAAAGATAATCATGAAAAA